TTTTCCATTGTCTGAATAGAAAATCTTAAAAAAAAACTGCAGTTTGGACTCTGGGGCTAAATCTTTTAAAACATTTGATTGTAGACATATTTTTCTGACAATAGACACTTAAACCTTATAAATCAAGATTTTGATTGATTTGTGTAACTTTACATTAAATATGATGTTATTTTAGTAATTTTGTAAAAATCTTGGTCCTTAACGGCACTTTTTACTTGCAGAGGGTATAGCGGGTCTACGATCTATCGATGGTCGCCACTTGGCAATGATGCCACATCCTGAACGATGTGTTCTATCTTGGCAATGTCCAGTTCCCCACTCCGCTGACAAGCAAAGCAAATATTCACCATGGATGAAACTCTTCAACAATGCTTACACTTGGGCCTCACAGAATTAATACCTCAAACAATACAAAACAGACAACTAGAAGCTCATATGAACCTCATAGCACTAATAAAACAGTAAATAGAAATTTGTAACATTGAATTATATAATAATGATAGCAAGATTTTTTACATAATATGTAATTATACATAATTTTATGATTTAACATCTATAATATTCTTAATCTTACTTTAATAATTTTGTTTTAATAGAAATGTCTCTTGAAAAGCTATGTGATTTATCACTCAAATGCCAATGGGAATCAGCTCATTCTGATGGTTACATTATATCTTTTTAACATTTCTCAGTCGTTCTATATGTTAATTGTTATAATTAATTTTACTGTGTAAACATATCAAGAGAATAGTTACATTTAAAAATCATTCCATTTTGATGTTAAGACTGGGTCTTAACCCAGTTTCACCAATCAATGTTAAATAAATAACGTCTTGTTAAGACATTTGATGATCTGCTAGATGTATAGAGAGTCCCAACAGACACTAATGTCTGTTTAAATGTCCTAACAACGCATTACTATTAATTCCTGCTCTAGCGGTTTATATTTTAACAGCCAATTATATTTTTGAAGGTCCATTAGTAAATGCTTCGTTTAGATATAACAAACAGAGTTTGGTGAAACTAGGGATATATATGTAGTATTAATGTCTTCCAAGTGTGCCAAATTTTATATGGAATTTATTTGCTGTCTTTACATTTTGTATCATATATAAATGAAATCTCTCTGAGACTTTACCTTCTATCTTATACATTTTAATCTTTTTTTATAGTAATTAAGTTTTATAAAAGAAATATATTTTAGTCCTTATAAAAATAAAAAATGTTATTTGTAATATTATGGCATATAAATTAAGGTATGCATTCCTCATTGATGTATATTTCTTATACTTTTTTTGTTAAGTTTTACAATTAAAGAGTACATGAAATCTAAATTCAAAAATATATTTTAAATCTATTTATAAAAGTTTTTTCCTTCACCTTTTAAAGACAAAAGAAAATTAATGTCATGAATTTTAAAGGATGTCATACTTGAATACACCAAAATGATTGTCTTCAATGGCATTTTGGTGTTTCGTTATATTTTCTGTTTGTTACTGAAGCCACTACTTACACTATATAAGTTTCTTATGAATATTATTTATAATACTTATTCATGTAATGAAAAAATTGTTAAATTCCTCTTCTCACCAATTATTACATGAAAACTATCTTTTACATTTTTGAAATATATTTTTATAACCTATAAGGAAAATTAATTCTTAATATGAATGCCTACATATGGATATCATTTTTCAATTAAGGATTATATAGATTCAAAATAAGACTAAGAAATTTTTCTCTTATTGACCACTTTAGTTATTAACAATATTTGTGGTGAAAAGAAAAGTAAATTAACAATCTTCTGTTATGTTTGTATATTGATATGAATAATATTATAATAATTGTTGAACCTTGAAAAGATGACCTGTCAAGACGGGTTAACATGCAGAAAGTACTATGTATTACTATTTAGTCACATAAAATCAAAAAATATTTAAATATAAAAAATCGTCAACACATTTTACGAAATATAAAATTGCATAATCAGTTTAGGAGGAAATAAATTGTTGAAAACGCTAATTTATGTTTAGGGAAGAAAGAGGATTTAAAGTAATAAACATTAAGGTGTTCGCATTAGAAAGCGTACATTGAAGTTATATCGTACTTAATATTGTCACAATACGTGAGACAATCGCGCATGTTACGTTACTGCAAAAGTCACGTTTCCGGTTTCCTAAATTCTTTGCAGATCGCCAAACAGGGCCTTCTTTTAAGAAGGTAACATAAAATCCTAGCGTAGTACCACAAAACGTTGAATATTTTTTTATATTGTCAACCATTTGTTGTATTTCAAAAATAAACTATTATGATTTAATTATTTCCAAGTAGAAACTAAACATTAGATATTGAAATAAGAATAATATATAACAATATATACTTTAAAAATATATAAAAGTAAAAAAAACAAATCTCTAAAACCATAATCTAGTATGCGTGTATCGTTACCAATACTATCAAAGTTTTCGAACGCTCCCCAAAGTAATCGTTTTCGTGTAAATTACAATGACCGTCAGTCGTCAAAACTGGAAACGATATCGACTTAACTGTGTAGTGTGAACTGTGAAGTGATTGTATTGTTTATTTTTAATGTTTATATATACCCCATACTAAAATCTTATATTCATGAAGTTTATGATTTAATCATTTTTCTTTACTGTCTTCTTTTTATCATAGAAATTAAAGTGACATTACAATGAAAACTAGTACGACACAGTTTAAAGTAATTGTTGATTTTATGGAAAGGTATTAGTTACAACATTATAATATATAATCTTCCTTTACATTGTTTTTTCTCCAATTATATCTTATTTTCTTTAGGTACGGAGATCTTAGTAAGAGCCAAAATGGGCTTCAGGGCAGGCTAGAATCTATAAAGAAATGGCAAATGTTAACAAATTCTCTAAATAAGGATCCAACAGGTGATAGACGGTCCATTGAAAAGTGGAAGAAAGTAAGATGATTTTTATTTGGTTTAGTTCCTCCTATAATTTAAGAATTTATTCTGAATAATGATAAAACACTATACTGTGGTTTAGTAAATTACCACAAGTTCTTTTGCTTATTTTTTTTAAATATTGATAAAATTATCATTATCACTAAACAAAATTTTTATTTTTCATTAGGTTTGGAGTGATTTCAAAAATAATACCAAAAGAAAAAGAATGAAAATATTAAAATATGCCGGTTTACCTGAACATTTGCGACCTAAATTGGCATTAAATGACTTAGAAAATAGAGTTCTAAATATTGTGGATCAAGGAGCTCCTATGGTGGATGATAAAACAGGTGTAGGGGTGGAGGTAAGATTATTATCATATTCAAGTTATTGTAACTGATAATTTAATATTTTATATCTCTTTTAATTATTAACTTTAGATATAAATGTAACTTTCTTTAAATCTGTAACTTATACCTGCATATCTGCTTTTCTAATAAGCCATAATTTAATACAAATTTAAACTTTTTTGTGATTTTTTAAAATCTTTATTTTCTTTATTATAAGTGATTCAATAATATTACAGATACAGTATATGGATAGTGTACCTCAGGAAGAAGGTACCGCACCAACAACAGTGCAATTCATATCAACGGAGCAGAATTCACAGACATTTCATGCTGAGACTAGTAAGTACATCTTAACAACCAAGAAGAATAATTATAATAGTTCTCAATTTGTTAAACAAATCCATTAAAAATATATTTACGACAGTTTGAACATACTCACTCAAATTTTAAACTGAAAATTAAAAACTGTTCCTTAACTTTATTTATAGAGTTTTTGATTACTGTTTGTTAAAGTGAACTTATTTTTAGTGTCAGATGGAAACAACAGCGATTATTTCACATCATCCGATGAGTCTTCAGACAGGAGTTCCGATGAATCTATTGAAACTGATGAGAGGAGGATGTCTTCGCCGCGTTCTCGTCACGTTAATAACCATCGTAATGTTTTTCAACGATCACGAAAATCTAAAGGCAGTCCTGCAGGACCGTCTCGTGATCCATTTGAGGCCAGCGATAATCGTTGGAGAAAGCTCTTCTCAGAACTTACATCTGAACACATACGACTACGAAAAAGAGAACTCCGACAGCAAGAACGGTGGCATGCTCTGTTTGAAAGATGCGTTGATTGCATGGAAAAATTTATTAATAAATGACTTTATAAATATGTACAGGAAGAGATAAATATTTTGATTTAAATGCACCTAATAAACATCTTTGTTTATGAATTTTTGGAATATTGAGGTGATAATCAGACCGAGGTGATAATGAGATATCTACTAAAATATGTAGAGAATTTAAGAAAAGGTTTATCATTTGTATTCATAAACCACAATATAAACAATGCAGTAATTAGTAAAGTATTAAAAACTCATTGCCTTAAAAATCTAGTTATTTATGAAATGTGACATACCATTCATAATAAGATCTTATATGTAACCATCAAAGTAAAAGTAGAAATCTTTTGAGATTATTTAGCTAGGAATTAAATAGTAAGTAATAAGAAACAATATGTAAAAATATTATACATATAAGGAATGACTTGAGTTTTTTTAAATTAAAAACTAGTTTAAACCGGTAACACAGAAAACCATGTGCATGAACAATTGAAATGGATTTATGAATAAAAATGTAAGTCTTATTGTAAAGATTTTTAATGAAAAACAGTTTCTTTAACATTAGAATGGATGTACTTATTAGTGTACAATATCGGACAAAATCAAAATTAAGTTTTCAGTTGTAACTGAATTTTTTATATTGTAATAAACGTTTTTATGACTTACGAATTGTAAATAATATATTAGAAAATATATATATAAGAAAATTTAAATAAAGTATATCTATGTTCTATCTGTTCTTCATAAGAATAAACTTTATTATAAGTAATCTCTATTAAAACACATCTTAAATATTTATCAAAATAATGTAATAAAAAACTTTTTAATATATTTGTTTTCCTTAAAATTATTATTGTTTACTTAAATTCCTAAGTAACATTAAATGTTCATTGCCATTATATTTTGCAGTGATTTGCTTATATCTTTTCTTCTGGCTTTTTCTAAAGCATTACAAAGGTCAAAAAACCATCTTTGGGGATCTGCTTTTTGGTTGTAATATATATCCAGTAACTCCAAAACCTTATCAGCCACATATTGATGTTTCAGATCAATGTCATCTATTTTGCCTTCTGGTATTTTAAGATTTCGTCCAAGCGCTCGCCAAAAACTTCCAATTCCTTCCACAATTTGGTTATTAATTCTATTTCTTTTAGTTATGCTGATATTAGCGTAGGGGTGGGCATAATTATAAGCTTCTTTAAAATCATTCTTTGTATTGTCTGTATTATCTATAGCTGTGGGAAAAATAGATTAATTTTACATAACTTCCTTATTATTAATCTAACAAAACAATTTTTTATTTAAAATTTATGTTATGTAGTCATTCAATATATTTTATTTAAAAACTAATAACAATGTTGGCTTTACACAACATAATGGAGGAAGATTTTGTAAAGAAGAAATAAAAATCAATGTAAGGATGTCTGATTGAAAATTATAAGGGGGAATTACAGTTTTAATGTAATTACTCACTATGTAGAACGAAAACTTTGAAATGTTATTTAGTATACTCACAGTAGTAATTTTTATATTCTCTTTCTATATGGTTAGTTTCATAGCTGTTTATTCTTTTTAACAGCTCATTATTGTTTAAACGTCTAGCTATTTCCTTTAAAGGTAGTACATTATCCTCTGATAGTACATCTCGTATCTCCAATATTCTCAGTAATTGACTCATTGTTAATATTTTTTCAAATCTCCTATCTGAGTCTACATCATCTTTATAATATTGTTTTAATTTATTCAATAAATGGGCATGGTCATCACTTTTACTTACTTCAAGCATAATTTGTTGCTTTAGCTGTGTATATTCGGATAGAGTCATTTTTAGTGTACTAAAATTATATATCCGAATTATTAACACGAGAAGAGAATTGATAACTTTAAACAAAATCTATTCTAAATAACATCACCTACAATAATAATCCTATCTATAACTTCAACATTATTCACTTGACATCTGTCTTCTGAATTTGATTTTAATGTTATTATTTTTTTGTCTTCTTAATTTACGTTTCGTTTCACACAAATGTCGTTAGAATTAAGACTGTAAAAGTAGCGAAATTATTCCTAATTTGCACAAAAATAAAAGTTACGTTATAAATCTTAAGGTTTTACTTATTAAATCAATAATATTGTGTCACAACTAAAATAATTATAGTAATTTTTTTTTATTATTATTATAATTATAAAAATTGACAAATATGAAGATACAGAAACGAACAGCCTTTCAACATTTCCATTTATACTAGTTTGTTTTCAATTATTTTTTCTTTTATAAATATTAATCTTTTTTTTGGAAATTATTGTTATTTTTTATATTATTGATTAAGTTAAAAATGATTTAAAACGAAAAACTTTTCTTGTATATACCAGTATTAGAATATGTACCTATACCTGATACATGGTTGTTATAAGTGCCTGGTATTTTAGAAAAACTTAATATTTAGCCAGTCAAAGTTTTTTATAAAATTTATAAATGTACCTATAGCATACAATACGTGATGTTAGTCTTTTTAGTAAGAATAAGACAAATATGTGTTTTTCTTGAAGTTTCTGATGTTTTTCTTTTATTTTGGAAATTTAACTAAATATAAATTTTAACATAAAGGTTTACGAGAAACAAAGTTATTATAGCTATGTGGGTAATAAAAACATTTGGTTTTGTTTCTGAGATGATTGAGACTAATTGTGGTCAAGTGACTAGAGCTTGAACATGGGTGGGTTCGACTGATGAAGTACCTCCTGTATGCAGACGATTGTGGTGAAGTATTCTTTAACGGCTGAGTTTCGTCCGATGAGTGAGAGAGCCATTTACCTTTTCATTCCCACCTTTTCCTCTTCCAGGATTGTGCAATGACCTGTCCTCCATTAGTCTAAATCTGTTTTGGGGTTTTCAGCGTTTTTCCTTGGTATGGAGTTCAGGTAGACCCTTCGAATGGGGTGAATGGGAATCATGGGACCATCAACGCCTTTCCATCAATTCCTTCATCACAAAGGCGGAATAGCACCCGTAACACAATGTTGCTGATGTTTATGGGCGAAGATAGCTATTTACCATCAGGTAGACCGCTTTGGGAAATATAAAATATAACTTATTATAGTTAAAATGCACTACTTAAAAAACAATAAAAATATTAACGGCCTTTTTTTTTACTCAAATTATCTTTGCTAACACCTTATTTTACAAAGTCTTCGTTCTGTTTATGGATTACATATTGATTAAATATAATTTGCCTTGGATTTCCTATTTGATTTCGAGTCTTACTAACATTTTTAAGAATTTCATCTTAATTCTACGATTGACGTTTCAAAGATGAGATGAGATGTAGGTAATTAGAAAAATTTTCTTTCAAAATTTTAACGAACCTTGTCATTGTTGTGAGAGAAAGAATATTTGATTGACTGGCTAGAAGACTATATTCACATTTATAGCAATTATGAAATATTTGCCCTACGCTGTTAAGAGACATATTCGTTTTTAAGACCGTGGCTATATTTCAAATAAACCTTTTACAAAATTTTGAAATCATTTAACTGTGTTTTTGTTATTTAGAAACATTCAACTAAATTTTATATGTAGGTATATACCTACTATTTAAATTTGAAATGTCACCACGACCGTCAATTACATTGTAATTTGTAAGTTAAAAGATAAATCGTGGTCTACATAAATACTTCTAGTAAATGACTAACTTTCATTATAATGTGTAATGTTATTGATTATATTGTTTAGTTTTTAAATTGTGAAGATTTTATTTGAATGAAATGTGTGAGGTAGCAAGTGGCAAAATTCGTTCACCTTTGAACACCTTGTCGACGGTTTCAATCTGGTTTAAATCTATGATGTACCTAGAGATTTCACAATTTATTATAATTGTTTAATATCTGCGGGTTTGGTAAAGCTTCAATATGCATAAATTCTATTTTAAAATTATTATACATGTAGCTAAAGCAATTTTAACGTTATATTTACTTACCCACTTAAATAACACTGAAGTCAGAAATTTTCACATTTGCATATTCTCTGGACGTAAAATATACCATAAATACCATTTACATTATATGAACATTTTTATAAAATAAAGCTGATACATGGAAAATTACTGTATATTTAATTTGGTAAATTAAAACATTTTAGTTAATTACGAGCATATACAATAAAAGTTAATTTAGTGTAATTTGATAAGGGGTCAGAGATTGTGTTTAAATAAACAAATTTTACTAGTTAGCCAAAGTGTTTTTGTATTATTAGTTTGTCTTATCAATTGTATAGTAGTCTTGCAGCAACATTTCTGACCTCTGTATCAGTCTTAAATTCTATCTCTTGTCATTCGGACCGTATTATGACCAATTATAAGATCCTACTTTAAAAATTATAATGATTCGAATAATTAAACGAGGTATTTCGTTAAAATATCGTAATAGTAGTAGGGAAATTCAACACAATGTAAAACGATGTGTTGCCACTCAGATTTCAAAGTCGGATGTTTTGTTTCCTGAGAGGGTAGATTTTCCTTCTCGCCATATCGGACCCAGGGATCAGGATGTAGTGACTATGCTGGATCTCTTAGGCTATAAGGTAAGAATTTTGTATATTCTTTATATAAACAAACAGAAACACGTGAAAGTTAATTCAGAAAACATAATACTTTAAGACAGGGTTACATATTCTTACCTTTATGCAACGTGTTAAAGATATTTTTTTTAAAGACACCTTTTAATGTATCTACTATTAATAGGAAAAATATATTTATGTTTTAGAGTTTAGACCAACTAACAAATGATGCTGTGCCTAAGAAAATCCAGTTAGAAGGTCTTATGAACATCTCGGAACCAATGAGTATGTTTTCATATAACATTTAAGTATTATATTTTACTGCAATATTATTTTCAAGGACATTTAAAACTTTTTAATTTCAGGCGAATATGATCTTATTGAAAGAATTCGTAAAATAGCAGAAACAAATCAAATATGGCGTTCCTACATTGGTATGGGATATCATAATTGTTGTGTGCCGCATTCTATAATGAGAAACATGTTTGAGAACCCTGGATGGTAACAGGAGTTTTAAATAAATATAACTGTTTGAGTCAATGTTTTTGATAGAGGTACTAAATAGCTAACTTTATAGGACTACACAGTACACTCCGTATCAACCCGAAGTGGCTCAAGGACGGTTAGAAGGTTTATTAAACTATCAAACAATGGTCAGTGATCTAACGGGATTGGACGTTGCTAACGCGTCCCTTCTTGATGAAGGGACTGCTGCAGCTGAGGCTTTGTCTTTATGCCATAGGTAATTACTGACAATAATAAAATCTTTTTTCCTTAAGCATTTACAAAGTCAATAAATAAATATTTTTACTTTCAGACATAATAGGAGGACAAAGTTTGTAGTATCAGAACGACTGCATCCGCAGACATTAGCTGTTGTGCAAACTCGGTTGGATGCGTTAGGACTAGAAGTTATGGTAGTACCTGATGTTCGACAAGCAGATTTCGCACAACGAGACATATCTGCTGTATTATTACAATGTCCAGATACAAGAGGATTGGTTTATGATTACTCAGGCTTAGCGGCAGCTGCACAGGAACATGGGGTAGGCTATAAAGAATCCTACTAATGTTATAATTGCGAAAGTTTGTGATTGTGTGTGTATGTTTGTTACCTCTTCACGCTCAAACGGCTGAACCGATTTTGATAGAATTTTGTATACAGGAAGCTGACGTCCAGGAATAACACATAGGCTACTTTACAACTCGGAAATCTGCGGGTATTACCGCGAGGCGCTAGTAATATTATAAGTTTAGGTAAGAATTGTATGATATCATAATATCGCTACTAATATCAACAATTGTCTTTTATTATTTAGACTTTGGTGGTTGTTGCGACTGATCTTCTAGCTATGGCACTTCTACGACCCCCCGCAGAATGTGGTGCTGCTTTAGCTGTTGGCACTTCACAGAGGTTAGGTGTTCCTCTTGGCTATGGCGGACCTCATGCTGGATTTTTCGCAGCAGAACATGCATTAGTCCGTTTGATGCCAGGTCGCATGGTTGGCGTGACTAGGGACGCGGCTGGAAGAGATGCTTATAGGTATATAGTATATTCATATCCTTATCAGCGTATTTGTTATAGTAATTAATATAAGACTTATTACAGACTAGCTCTCCAGACAAGGGAACAGCATATCCGAAGAGATAAAGCTACATCAAATATATGTACAGCTCAGGCTCTGTTAGCTAATATGTCAGCCATGTTCGCTGTTTATCACGGGCCACAAGGTTTGAGGGACATCGCGGTGCGAGTTCATAACGCTACTCTGGTTCTCGATGACGGTAATATATACTCCTATAAGAACTAGGATTTTTCTATTATTAAATAATTTCTATAATATCTATATCTGGTAAAGCTTATCAGTGATTCTAATTTTATGACTTAATTATTCGTACTGTAAAATTGTAAGTTCGATAAATGTTAATATGTTAAAATATTTTTATAATAATCAAAGTAACCATTGAAAAAAATATTCAGGCATTTGTGAAGAAAAGTTAACGGAAACTTATTTTAGTAAAACTCGTTTTAAAACCGTTGTATTCAATATATTGTACAGAAGTTAGTTATTTTTTACATAAAATTATTCTTTTAGGAATTCAAAAACGTGGTCATAGGCAGTTGAACGACGTATATTTTGACACACTCTACATCATTCCAAGTGCGGATCATGATGCAACTGCTATAAAGGCAAGAGCTCAAGAAAAGAAAATTAATTTACGATATTTTGATGATGGAGCCGTCGGAGTAGCATTAGATGAAACCACTACAATGGAAGACGTTGACGATTTGCTATGGATATTTGATTGCCAGGGAGTTACTGAGGTTTTTGTTTGCAATATACTATTAGATATTTTAAACTACTTGAGGAATTACAATTAATTAATAATGTCGTTGTTTTCTGGCAGGTGATGAAGAGTGGTGATGTTAAATCAAGAAGTATCTTAAAGGGTCCGTTTAGAAGAACTTCTCCATACTTAACACATCCTGTGTTCAATATGCATCACTCAGAAACAAGAATTGTAAGGTATATGAAGAGATTGGAAAATAAGGATATATCATTGGTTCACTCTATGATTCCTCTCGTAAGTAATGACAAAAATATAAAAATAATACAAAGTACCTTTTGTGAACACTTTCTTAAATTTAAATACATAATATATTTTCAAGGGTTCCTGTACTATGAAGTTAAATTCTACAACCGAAATGATGCCTTGTTCATTTAAACATTTTACTGACATCCATCCATTCGCACCACTCGAGCAATGCCAGGGCTACCACACACTTTTTGAAGAGCTTGCTAAGGATTTGTGTGCTATCACAGGTTACGATCGTGTATCTTTTCAACCGAACAGGTATGAATGCGTAAAAGAACGAATCAATTAGGTTATAAATATATATAAGTAATGTTATTATATTTTAGTGGAGCTCAAGGCGAATATGCTGGTCTAAGAACAATCAAACGCTACCATGAATATAGAGGTGATACAGGGCGTAATATATGTTTAATACCTGTTAGTGCTCACGGTACAAATCCAGCCTCGGCACACATGGCCGGCATGAGGGTCTGTGCGATACGCGTCACACCCTCTGGAGATATTGATATGGCACATCTTAAAGATATGGTAAGAAAATAGCATTTGGAGTTTTTTTCATCATCAGCCTACAAGAGCCCACTGCTGAGCAATGACCTCTCCTCACATGAAGAAGATTTGAGCATTAATTACCACGCTTGGTCAAGACGGTTTGGTGATTTCAAACTTATAATTTTAAATTATAAGTCCAGATTTCCTCACGATGTTTTCCTTCAGTAATGTCTAAATACTCTTAGAAAGTACATATGACTCGGTAAAATCACATTGATACTTGCCAGGTTTCGAGCCCGAGTAATCATGCACGAAAGGCGGGCCTTTAACCTTTAGGCCATCACGACCTTTTTGTGGTACTAATTACTAAAACCCTTTAAATTTAAATACTTTATGCAGCTTGATATAATATTTAGAATAAAAATGTAATTAGTGTTACTATTGTGTTATCAGGTGGAAGAACATAGTGAAAAATTATCATGTCTGATGTTAACATATCCGAGTACATTCGGTGTGTTTGAGGAACGCGCAGCTGACGTATGCTCGCTCGTTCACCAACACGGTGGACAAGTCTATTTAGATGGCGCTAACATGAATGCACAGGTTTGATTAATATTAGATAGTTTGTTGGGAATTTCAGTCTATTTAAACTCAAACTCAAATAACTTTATTCAAAATAGAACCATTACACTCTCTTATTGATGGTCAATTGAGACACTACCACCGGTTCGGAAAAGAAAATACCCTGACCTAAATTAGATGTCTAAGCTACATTTAAATAAATTAACACATAGAACAATATTCATAGTATCAATTACCAAAGAATAGGTGCTGGTGTTAAAGAAGAAATGTTCAGCATAGAATATGATGAGTTTTTTGGAATATATAGCATGTATATTTGGGTTAACTTTTATTTACTTTTTAGGTTGGACTTTGTCGTCCCGGAGACTATGGTAGTGATGTATCCCATTTGAATTTACATAAAACTTTCTGTATACCACACGGCGGAGGTGGCCCTGGTATGGGTCCTATAGGAGTGTAAGTATAGTAGAATATATGATTGTTCATTGTAGAACGAAATTCTATAGCAGAACGTTGAAGTAGTTTGCAAATTTCAATATCTCATTTTAATGTGTTGTTCTTATGAAATATTGAGTTAATACAAAGGAATTTTGATCTAGAAAATGTATCTGGAATTTTTAACTATTTCACTATGTCAGTGCAGTTAAAAGTAAAGAAATTAGTGTAATATATTTATATCAACAGAAAAGCTCATCTTGCTCCGTTTCTACCGTCACATCCCGTGGTGAATCCGTTAGCTGACTTGGGTGAAGATGCCCATAGTTTTGGCTCCGTCAGCGCAGCGCCATTTGGTTCATCTGCAATATTACCAATATCATGGGCTTACATTAAGGTCAGCTTTAATACTTAAAAAATATATATTTTGTGTGAATTTATAAAAATCAAGTCTAGTTAAATAAAAGTATTTTTGTAATTGGTTTCTAGATGATGGGCCCCAAAGGCTTAAAGAGAGCGACACAGGTCGCTATTCTTAATGCTAATTATATGTCGCGAAGATTAGATGGTCATTATAAAACTTTGTACAAAGGCGAAAGAGGACTTGTTGCTCATGAATTCATTATAGATGTCCGAGATATGAAGAAAACAGCTAATATTGAACCCGGAGATATTGCGAAACGTCTTATGGACTTTGGTGAGAAATTATAAGTATAAAATATATTACTTTATAAGAAGCTTTCTTATACTAAAAATTAATAGGATAAAAATAAAACTCTCAAGAATATTATAGAATAGATTAGATACGAAAAAAATATGGTCCACGCTAATGGTGGTCTCACTTTCTGATTTATGTGTGGGCAAGGAAGGGTAGAGTAAATTTTGCCAATTGAACTCACTCTACCTCTGCGACTGATTCACTTATTAATTATTTCATCTAGCCTGTACCTGGCACACAATATATAAATATCCTATAGTGGGTTCAACAATAGCCCAAGAAATAAAGAAAAATTGGTTTGTCTTAGGGGAAAGGGTGACAAGCACAGTATGGAAGATAAATATAATATATAACATAAATGTTATAAACAAATAAAGTTAATAGGGCAATAATTTTATATATATGTTCAGAATTGTGATAATCCCGCTATCCCTGTCTCATCGCTCAAATACTTGACTAAGATTAAATTATAATAATTAAACGTCTTATTTAAAGGTTTTCACGCACCTACAATATCTTGGCCGGTGGCTGGCACCCTTATGATTGAACCAACTGAATCTGAAGACTTACAAGAGTTAGATCGCTTCTGTGAAGCCCTTATTGCTATTAGGAAGGAAATTAAAGATATTGAAGATGGTCTTATTGATAAGAGATTGAATCCAGTAAAGGTATTATGAATACAAACTACTTAATGATGCATCTTTGTACAAAGTAATATAAAATATATTTCTATGTACAGATGGCGCCACACACACAAGAAGAAGTAATTACAGAAGATTGGAATCGTCCTTACACAAGAGAACAAGCCGCTTTTCCTGCGGTAGGTGTTATAAACTTTATATTAATTCTGAAAATATTTATTAGACTTCAAATATATTTCTTTTTTTTAGCCATTTGTAAAAGGAGAAACAAAAATTTGGCCTACGGTTAGTCGCATCGACGATATGTACGGCGATAAACATCTTGTCTGCACGTGTCCTCCTGTAATAGATGACTTCTAAAAGGCGAGGTGCTGGTATATGTAAATAAAATACATTTACTGCGATTTCATAATGTATTTAATTTTTCAATATTGTCATAGAATAAATATTATCTTTTATCAACAGGCGTGTTTCTTTTGTGACGATAATTTTTTCTATCCTAAAATCATGTAAATAGTTAATTGCCATTATTACATTGACATCACAAGGAAATCTAATCTATGTTTATTGCGCATTTCCTTTAAAAATAACGAAGATAAAGGCAACTTTCCGTAGTGTTCTCTTAATATTAATTTCTCAAATATAATACGAATTGCTTATTTTTGTCAATTTTAAAATGTTAAATTATTTATATGCATTCTTTCGTATTCCAAATAAGCTGATGAAGCAAGTCTTGTTAACATTATTTCGAATTATTTTATCTAATAAAATATATTTATAGCATATATATTTTTATTGCATAACAAACCGGTCTGCGAAAAAAAGCAGTAAATAAATCGAAAACCATCACAAAACAAACGCATTTGAATCAAATGCTTATAAAACACATATTAACACATTTATTTCTGTAACGGTATTATTATGTAAAAGTGGCAATATGCAAATATTCATTTCTGCGGAGAAGGAAAAGTTTCTTTAGGGTACATTCCTAGTTTAATTCCAAGATCTTTTGGCAGACGAATAGCAGGTCTCGTCGGAAAAGGGTGGTAAGATCCGGTTGAAGGACTGCGAGGGTAAGACAAAGAAGATAAAGTATCCGTTTCTAAAAGAGAAGTTATGGCGCTGCAAGTATCGTCTGATTCCAGTTTAACAGTGTCACTTTTTTCTGTCGAATCTTTAGGCAAATTTGGTGTGTCTCTATTGGGAAAAGTTTTTGGTGATATTGGTGTTGATATTTGATCTAATGACGTAATTTGACACAATGTATCACTAGAATTACTTTTTGCACCCATTGGAGAATCGTCTTCCATCGATGGTTCACATGTAAAACTAATAGATGATGTAACCTTGTGTGAAAAATCGCTAAATTGACTGTTTTCGGTTTTTATAAGATTATCGCTAATTTTAGGACTTCGATCTATTATTTTACTACATATATCACTAGCCTTTGATATAACAAAATCATTATATTTGCTGGAATTAGTCATGGGATAGTTATAATCGTCCGAAGTATAGCGACGATCAAATGATGAAGTGTCTTTCATTTCTGAAGAAGGGAGTGTCACTGATATTTTCGACTCCTCTGAAAATGAGCTACTGGACCAGTCTCCTTTTAAATTATTTTGATTCCTTATGCTATGGTGCGAATCGTTACAAATGGTGTCGGTTCGCCGTTTGTATTCATCCTCTGAAATTTCTTGTCGATTTAGATTGCTTCTAAAATCACATTTTGCTAAGAATCCCTTATTTTCCCAACCGTAATAATCTGGTTTATTTACGAGGCATTCAATGCTCGGTGTTTTTAAATTTTTAATATCAAATTCATCGTTTGATGTTAAGACATTACGAATTTCAAAAGAAAAAGGGTCATCAATCGATATAGGTCTTTCTCTAAGAAAATCATTTTTATCCTCTGGTTCGCCTTTTGAAGATCTTCTTAAGCAACCGATTAAAGAATCAGACGTAGATTCTTTGAGTAAGTTAAGTTTAGCAGCGCTGTCTTTGACTAAAGAAAAATCCGTAAATTTTTTACTTGTGTCTGTAGGTGTTACGTCGTCTTCGCCTACCTTGTTTTTTGTAGTATCTATAGTTTCTTTCTCTTTAGCTGTTGCAGTAGAGCTTTGTTTTGTTAAAATTCTGCTTAATATTTGTGAATTTTCTTGTATAATTTGTAAAGCTCTTTCACTATTTTTTCGGCCTGATCTTAGTACATATTCTTTTGCACATGGTGGGCTTTCATTTACTTTATCTATTGGAATATCTTCAATAATAGGTTTTTGAAAATCTTTTTCTAAGTATTCAGTGTGTTGCAAAGACTTTTTCCTTAATTTATGACCTTCTTTTTTATCTTCTTTCACTTCTGGACTTACAGATTTTTTACATACAAATGTATGAGGCTGTGGCAGAGATGAAGCTCTCTCTGCCTCGTTTTTAACATTTTTTCCGTTATTATGAGTTAAAGAGTCAGGTTTTTTAGGTAAACGTGAATTTCTTTTTGTAGCTCGTCTACTTGGTATGTTTGAACTGTGAGGGTCAGTCAATCGTGCTCCGAAAAATTCTGGGCTATGTTCAAAATATTTATCTACTTTCAATGGAATAGGAGGTTCATCTTCACTGACAATGAGGCTTTCGGACTCAGGGCTTCTTAAGGGACTTTCTGGGTCTGACATATATTTATCTGACAAGTCAATATCGGGTACAAAATTCGGGTAGCTTGCAAAAGTATCGATTATATCTGGAGTTGTATATGAAACTTCATCGCGTTTATTTGAGGACACTGTTTCTAATTTATTATGATTTTTTGTAGGTGCATGAAATTTTCTTACACAATTATGAGGTGATAAGTCAATAGGACTTAAGTGTATTTTATTTTTGGATTTTAATAAATTTGTATTTCTTTTATTATTCCTATGCTCATATTGTAAATGTTTAAATGAATTATTGCTTTCAACATCTATCTGTGGTGAATGAACAGGTTTAAGGGGACTAACAACTGTATAGGGTTTGCTGTCATTGTTAACCATTTGTGTGTCTTTTAATTTCATTTCAAACCCATCTATATAAACGCGTAATGGCTCCCCGGCAGCGGAGCCGAGGTAATCCGTTATATTTTTTACACTTTTATCGTCAGAACTAGGTTTTTGGTTTGAAGTAGGAGATGGTAGTATTGACGTGTCTTTAGCAGAAGGCAACACGTTATTTTGCTTTTCTATGTACAAAGGCGGAGAGTTTGTGGGTAAATTTATTTTGTTCTTCGTGCTATTTATATTATTTTCTTTATCGTCATTGGGTAAATCGGTTTCAGAATCACTAGCTTTTTCATTTTCATCACAAAGACTTGTGTCTGTACTAGATTCAGACCGCGAAGAATATGACGACGTTTCACTAGAACTTCGTGATCTCATGGATGCAATCATTTGATTTGCCTCTATTTCAGAGACAATAATTCCATCTCCAGATTCATCTAAATCTATTGATGGTTTTCTAGAAAATTCTAAAGCCGTATCTTTTTTTATATCTTTCCATTTTACAGAATTTCTTCTATTGAGTGTTTTGCGAGTTTTTTCTTCTTCCCAACTTATAGTATCATTTGAGGATCTGCGACTGTAACGTTCGAATTTTTCATTAGAATTTGTAGTTTGGCGAGATGGTGGTACTGCACCTGGAGGAGGTCCAAGTCTTCGTCCTCTTGAACTCACAATAGCACTTTTTCCAAGGAGAAGATTATTAACTGTAAGGGAAGTTGGTGAAGTAGGGACGCCAACTGAAAAAGGAGGATAACAAACTATTGAAGAACTAATTTATTTATTTATTACAAAAAATATTTTTAAGTGATTACTAATTTAAGCTTATATTATTAGTTTAATTTAACTTTATCAGAAGATCCAATAAAAAAAACATTTTTGTGTGTACATATGCAAAATTGTTAGAGCATATTAAATTTTCTTACCAGCGGCATGACGCGCGCAGGCCGCCGCTAAAATGACATGAGCCTGTCGTTGCCTCTCACGAAGTCGAGCATATTGTCTTTTTAATGCTCCAATATCGAGAGATAACCTATCACCAGCACCAGGTCTCTGTTCCCGTCTTGTAGCCACCTGGATATAATATATACATAATATAAACTTGTAATACTAACATTGATACGCTCACAATTTGATTTAGAAATGAACTTTAAAATAAACGTACCGTTGCTAAAGCCATTTTATTTCCTTCGTCACTAGACTCTCCTTCGTCTTCTGAATAGAAAAGTCTTAAGCCTCGCTTAGTCATAGACTGCATCTGCAAGTGTTTCATTTGGATTCATGAGAATTATAATAACTTCATATAAAATCCAGAAGAGAATATTGAATAGAAAATCATAAATTGTCATAGATAACGTACTGCTGATTGCAAAGGAGGGTGAAATACTGGTGGTGCATTTGGAGGTGCGGGCGGTGTTACTCTGTATCTATGTAGACTGCGTAATCTTGGCAATTCTGGCACAGAGTTAAACGCAACGACTCGTACTACCAAAGATTCTCCAGCTTCCCATACAGCACCCACACCACCACCCATACAACTGTAGAATTCATCAGCGGACCGCGCTGATAGGATTCGGCTAAAAAATATAACTTTTTAATATATTTTTTTTATTTTTTCACTGTTTTACTTATATCACATTATATATACTAAATGAGAACAAAAAATATGTGTAAAAAAATCATTTTCTATACTTACTCCTGAAGCATATCCCAAATTGCCAAAGCAGTCAGTAACAAAACTTCATTGCCATCAAGTAAAATTAAGTCCCAAATTCTTAACAACGACTCACGAGGTAGCCATGTTGCGTATAATGTAAGAAACCATTGCATAGTGAATACATCTGGCAAAGGAGGCTCTACACCACCACCTTAAATAAAATAAAAAATGTGTTCCTAAAAGATGTGTTTCATTGGAATTCCTTTAAGTGAAGAATACTTTACAACTTAAAATAAATATTAGAATAAAATTGTTTTCGATTAAGAACTAAATCTTAAATTTAGCTTTAATACTAGGAAAGTTTATAAAATAAACCATTTATTTTACCGTCAGATATTCTTTGCAAGTGATCCATATGTTGTGCCAATCTAGGTAGTCTTAATCTCAAAAGATCTCTGAATGCTGCCATATCTGCTGATAAACCTCGAAGATCATCTGCAAAGTAGCCTTCAGGTAGAACTGCCTCTACTAAATAGATCATTACCTAGAATGTATAATAGAGAATATTGAATTTATGATTGCTTGTGATTTGTGAATGGAAAGAAATATTCTGCTTTGTAGGTACTACCTTTAAAGAATCTGATTCCGACTTATCCATAACTTCTAAAATAATAGCTGCT